GTGATGCTTGTGTTTCCGATGAAGTCCGAGGTGCTGCTCTGTAGGCTGGAAGGAAGGACAAGGATTTTAAAATCAGAATGTCCCTGATGTTCATAAACCTCTTTTTGAAAATTTTCATGCATGTCTAATTTATTTATGTTTGGGGAAAGCTGGTGCCCTTACAAGAGCAGTGAGAGGCACAGGACAGGACCCTGATTTCTCAGAATTTCGTTCCTCGTTACGGGAAGAGGAAAAGGTTGGATTCATGTATTTTTTTCCTTCTTTCTGATGAATTTAGGTAATTCTCAGGAGCTGGAGAATTTTAGACCTGAAGGAAATGACTAACAATTTTTTTTTACAGCCACAGGAAAAGTGTTGAATAGCTATTTCATGCAAGTGATACGTTTTAGTTTCTGTTTAGTTACTGTCTGGTCTTTGGTGGCTTGAATTGGTGGGGATGGGAGCACCGAGGTGTTTCTGGTGCTCTCCTCAGAGCTGCTCCCCATCACACTCACAGGTTGAGGGATGCTTTTATTTGGCTCAGCTGCTGCTCCTGGTGAAGGAGCACGAGGGGATTGGAGATGGATTGTGGTTTGGGGAGTTTCTGCTGCAGAATTTTCCCTGGTATTTTTCTAAAGTATATCTGGAATAGCTGTCCTTCTGCTGGAACCACCAGCCCACAGAGACGTGAAGGTGGAGATGATGAGCTACTCTGAAATCCAGGTTAAGGTGGTGGTTTTGTGGTTTGGGGCGGTTGGGGTTTTTTAGGGGGGTGGTCTTCTTTCCTTATGAATTGCCCCCAAATACTTGCAGGCTCTACAAGTCCTGCAAGAACCTGCTTCAGACCCTTGGGGTGGGTGTTACCCTCAACTCCAGTGGTCTCCTGACCATGGCCAGAGGAGGAATCCTCTTGTTGGGCTCCAGGGTTCTTGAGCAGCAAACTCTACTACAGTATTTATAAGTCTGACTCCCTACTAATCTAGGCTTCAAGAAATACTTCAGCCCTCCTATTATTAATTATTTAGATAATGCTAAGTGTATTTTTTTTTAAGTACTTCCTTGAATTCACAATTTGCTTTCAGAATGAGCTATCTCCATTTAAATGAACCGTAAATGCAGCTGTATTTTCTATTTAAATCTTCAAGAGGTAAGAAAATACAAATCCAGACTTAAGGTATCTCATCCTGAATGGCAGCCTAAAGGCAACTTTAAAAGTTCAATTAAATGTAAATAAAATCAAATTAAATCAGATCAGAAGTAGAATTAAAATTTTTTTTAAAAGTTTCAAACATATTTCTATAGTGAACTTCAATTTCCTTTGTGCTTTGGCCTTGATTCAAACAGAGCATTGTCTTACAAACCCTGTGCTTTCAGTACCACCTTGTTGCTGGCTTATTGTGAAGCTGGTTTTCGGAGTGGCCTGCACAGATTGGGTCTGAGATGCTCTACAGGGAGGTGTGTGTCCGGCTGATAAAGCTGGATTAGGCAATACTTGGTGTTTTATAGTCATAGATTTTGATTTGGGGTAGTGAAGCTGGTTTTCGGAGTGGCCTGCACAGATTGGGTCTGAGATGCTCTACAGGGAGGTGTGTGTCCATCTGATAAAGCTGGATTAGGCAATACTTTGTGTTTTATAGTCATAGATTTTGATTTGGCATCTACACATTAAAGAAGTAATGAAATGCTGAAGGCTTCTGCAGAACTATATGGAATTTACCTTGAAGAATTTCTCTCTGTTATTCCTTCATTACAGTAATATTCTAAATAATCTACATTATCAAAACCATGTTTAGATTCCAGTCTAAGTGCTTTGGAGCAATCACAGGAAGGCTGAAATACTGATCTCTGAAGGCTGCAATTGGGTTCTCTACCTTCAGGAGCTTTTTAATTCCCAAAAAAAAGTCCAGTTTGCCCCGTGTTCCCACATAGGCTCTCCTGAACATTTTAGATTGACTTTTTTCAGGTAATATTTTATATTGCTAAATGGATGAGAATCCCACGTTTCACAAGGCATTCAAAAGTAATTTATTTTGTCTTGTGTTCTCCAAAGAGATTGAGGGACTGTGGGTGAATACACAGATTTAGGGTACTGGTTAGGAACAAATGAAGGAATAAGCACAATAAATTTCTAATACAATCATTTGCATTTAATTGGAACACCATGTCATGATTTTTGTGGCATGTTTGAAGTTCAGAATATGGTTGTGGGTAGCCCAGATTTTGGAAAAGACCACGCTGCTTGAGGTTTTTGGTCTAAAGGGTTACAAATATTGCAGACGTTTCCTTCATCGCTGAGAAAACCTTTAGAATTGGTTCTTGGGCAGCGTAAATAGGAAGGCAGTGTGCCTATATACACTCGTGTGCATCATAGCTATTTTGGGGCCGTGTTAATTGCTCCCAATCTTTATTTATAGAAGTTATATTAATTCCTGAAATAAGAAAGCCTGTATTTGCATTTCTGTAACAGCCTGATGCTGCTTAAGCTGGTGATGCTTGTGTTTCCGATGAAGTCCGAGGTGCTGCTCTGTAGGCTGGAAGGAAGGACAAGGATTTTAAAATCAGAATGTCCCTGATGTTCATAAACCTCTTTTTGAAAATTTTCATGCATGTCTAATTTATTTATGTTTGGGGAAAGCTGGTGCCCTTACAAGAGCAGTGAGAGGCACAGGACAGGACCCTGATTTCTCAGAATTTCGTTCCTCGTTACGGGAAGAGGAAAAGGTTGGATTCATGTATTTTTTTCCTTCTTTCTGATGAATTTAGGTAATTCTCAGGAGCTGGAGAATTTTAGACCTGAAGGAAATGACTAACAATTTTTTTTTACAGCCACAGGAAAAGTGTTGAATAGCTATTTCATGCAAGTGATACGTTTTAGTTTCTGTTTAGTTACTGTCTGGTCTTTGGTGGCTTGAATTGGTGGGGATGGGAGCACCGAGGTGTTTCTGGTGCTCTCCTCAGAGCTGCTCCCCATCACACTCACAGGTTGAGGGATGCTTTTATTTGGCTCAGCTGCTGCTCCTGGTGAAGGAGCCCCATCACACTCACAGGTTGAGGGATGCTTCTGGTGAAGGAACACGAGGGGATTGGAGATGGATTGTGGTTTGGGGAGTTTCTGCTGCAGAATTTTCCCTGGTATTTTTCTAAAGTATATCTGGAATAGCTGTCCTTCTGCTGGAACCACCAGCTCACAGAGATGTGAAGGTGGAGATGATGAGCTACTCTGAAATCCAGGTTAAGGTGGTGGTTTTGTGGTTTGGGGCGGTTGGGGTTTTTTAGGGGGGTGGTCTTCTTTCCTTATGAATTGCCCCCAAATACTTGCAGGCTCTACAAGTCCTGCAAGAACCTGCTTCAGACCCTTGGGGTGGGTGTTACCCTCAACTCCAGTGGTCTCCTGACCATGGCCAGAGGAGGAATCCTCTTGTTGGGCTCCAGGGTTCTTGAGCAGCAAACTCTACTACAGTATTTATAAGTCTGACTCCCTACTAATCTAGGCTTCAAGAAATACTTCAGCCCTCCTATTATTAATTATTTAGATAATGCTAAGTGTGTGTGAGGCGCAGAAAAAAGCCTCTTGTTGGCCCTACAGCATCCTGAGTGTAAAGACAAAGGGTGATTGCTGGTATGTGGTAGCTGAATCCTTCAAGTAGTGGTCTCCTGACCATGGCCAGAGGAGGAATCCTCTTGTTGGGCTCCAGGGTTCTTGAGCAGCAAACTCTACTACAGTATTTATAAGTCTGACTCCCTACTAATCTAGGCTTCAAGAAATACTTCAGCCCTCCTATTATTAATTATTTAGATAATGCTAAGTGTGTGTGAGGCGCAGAAAAAAGCCTCTTGTTGGCCCTACAGCATCCTGAGTGTAAAGACAAAGGGTGATTGCTGGTATGTGGTAGCTGAATCCTTCAAGTGTTTGAATTTCACGCTCTCCCAACGTGTGTCTCATCAAATCTCAAAGAAATACTTCAGCCCTCCTATTATTAATTATTTAGATAATGCTAAGTGTGTGTGAGGCGCAGAAAAAAGCCTCTTGTTGGCCCTACAGCATCCTGAGTGTAAAGACAAAGGGTGATTGCTGGTATGTGGTAGCTGAATCCTTCAAGTGTTTGAATTTCACGCTCTCCCAACGTGTGGCTCATCAAATCTCAAAGGACAACAAAAATGGCAGTGGCAAAAATAGAGGAGGAGGAGGAGGAACGAGGGTGTCTCAGGGCTTCTGTGTGCATGAGCGGCGATGAGATTGCTCAGTAAAACTGGAGGTGAGGGCAGCACAAACAATGCCATTAAAATGTGTTTTAGCTTTGGGTAAGGGTGCTCTGGGCCTGAGGTTTCCATCATGGACTTCATCCCACAGCCTGGAGACTCCTGTGACTGCTCTGAAAGAGTCTTTCACGTTGGGATCTCCCTTTCCACGTACCAGATCTAGTGTTTTCCAGTTCACTTGTTCCACTTACACCTCCAGCGTGCCAGATACATTGATTAAATCCAGTAATCTAGCCCTAATATATGATGATTTATTTGTTTAGAAGCTTTAGTTGTAACTTAGACATTAAAAAGTTTTCCTTTTCCACAGCCAGCTGCTAATTACAGGGAATTATAAGCAATACAAGGCTGCCCTCTGCTGTGCACTTTGAGCATAACAAGCAATAAGTTTGCGTAACTGCTGTCTCTATAAATGTTTAATTTTCTGCACGTGTTTCTATGCTGTTTTGTAGTAACATGACTGTTTATACACCTAAATGGGCAATTCTGCTTTAATTATAAGATAATTCAGCTAAAGGTCTGTATAATACTCTTCCTTTTTGCCCATTTTTCTTTGCTAACGTATCAATGATGGACTTTTTTTTTTATTTTAAATGATCTGTTATTAGTGCAAGAAAGTATTGCTATCCCCATGAATATTTTTTTGTTGTTAATTCACAAACAATTTCTTTTGTCTCTTTTCTTATAAGCTGCTTTTTCATCCCATTCTTGGTATAACTAGTAATTTCTTTTGCCTGTGTTTTTTTTCCCCTCTCTACAAGCACGCCTTTCATATAATGATTGAGGTAAGATGCATTGATGTTTGTTCATGATTATGGAACTTTTCTGTGGCCATGTAAGAAGTTATTTTGGTATGAGTTAACGTTATGTTTTTTTTAATTTTAATTTTGGACTAGAAATTTGTAAGCATGCGGGGTTTAAAAATACAGATTTAATCTGCTGTTCCAGAGCTTTCTCAAAACGTGTAGTTTCTCAGGTTGTTGAGTTGAAACACAACAGGCGTAGTCAGGCTGGGGTTCTTCATCTACAGACTGGTTTGGGTGGTCTTCCAACTGGTGCAGCACCCTGTAGAGGGGTGGTGGGGCTCTGCTGGAGCAGCCTCTGTGGGATGGCCAGGAACCACCTCTGTCCAGTCCCTGGGTGTCTCTTGTCTTCTCCCACCTGTGACACATCTCTGACCGTTTGGGGTGTGTGGTCTTCGTGGTGTCGTGGGTTTTGTGTCGCTCAAGAGCTTGGAAAAAGTCTCTCCTTGGACTTTGCATTGTATTTTTACTTGTATGAAATTACTGATACTTCACGTCAACCTACAAGGAACTGAAAACTGCTAATTCAGAAACTTGGTCGTTATTGCAAGGCTTTTAAACCAGATATGGAGGAAGTCAGAATTTGAGTTGAAATATGAATGCTCCATTTCCGTTGTCTCTATAGGTCTCTAATTAATAGCTGAAATGTCTCGTAAATGCAATTTAGAAGAAAACAGAATGGTGCCATTTAAATATTTCCCTGAAAATCTTGCATCTGTAAAGGGTTATCAGAGTTCCTCTGTCTCTGTTATTACTGATTTGCTTCAAATGACGTGGTCTCAGTTAGGGAAGAAGCTGAAGTGTCCTGTCTGCAAGTAACTACTTTGCAAACATCTTCCCCAAAGGAGTATAAACAAGGTACAATAAAATAAAGGTGAAAAAGAGAAAAATTGTCCAGTGGGAGGTGTCCCTCCCCAGGGCAGGGGGTTGGAACGAGATGATCTTTAAGGTCCCTTCCAACCCAAACCACTCTATGATTTTTTTTTATTTACAAGAAATGTAGTTCGATACAAATCATAGAGTCAAATTGAGAATAATGACAAAATGTAAAAACTCTGCCACCTTTTCCTGTGTTTGGATCTTAACCTTAGAGAGCATCTGGTTGCAAATGAACTAGAAGGGGAGGAAACAGCCAAGATAAATCACTTGAGTCTTTCAATGAGGACTTGTCAACTGTAGTCACAATATGAGCTGTGGAATAACTGTAACCAAGCGGAAATACGGCTCCGGGTAACAAAGCAAACTCTGGAAGTTTGAGGCCATGTTTATATTTTGGAGTCAGGAAAGAGAAAAGTGTCTCCGTACAGCCCTGTTTTGATAATTAGTCCTTTTTTTCCCCCGTTGTTGTACGTGATGAATCCCCTGATTTCAGTCCTCGTAGGAGAGACGGGGCTGGAGATAAACTGAGGGACTGTGCTGGGGCAGGTCTTTAAACAATCTGTTCCCTTGGTCATATTTTTAATGGATTTGGTAGTTTCACGTTTGTTAAGCTTCTCTCTGATCTCGAGAACCTTCTAGATGACACTTGAGGAAATCTATTTCTGGAAGTTCCCATTCTTTAATGACCATTTTCCCTCTGTTCTTTTCCCGGCACGACCCGTACGTGCTACCTGACAACTCCCAGCCATAAAAACCAGACCCAAAAAAAGCTGAATACTCAGAAAACCAGCCTGATTTTAAAATAATAATTCAAAATAAAATAATAAAATGTTTAATATATTCATCAGTGACCTGGACGAGGGGACGGAGTGTATCCTCAGCAAGTTTGCTGATGATACCAAACTGGGAGGGGTGGCTGACACCCCGGAGGGCTGTGCTGCCATCCAGCGAGACTTGGACAGGCTGGAGGGCTGGGCAAGGAAGAACCTCATGAGGTTCAACAGGGAAAAGTGTAGGGTCCTGCACCTGGGGAAGAAGAATGTCAGGCACCAATACAGGTTAGGGGTGGACCCGCTAGAGGCAACTACTGAAGAGAAAGATCTAGGGGTCCTGGTGGACAGTAAAATGACAATGAGTAAACAGTGTGCTCTTGCGGCCAGGAAGGCCAATGGTATCTTGGGTTGCATAGGGAAGAGTGTAGCGAGAGGACGAGGGGCAACGGGCACAAGTTGGAACATAAGAGGTTCCACTCAAATATGAGGAGAAACTTCTTCACGGTGAGGGTGACAGAGCCCTGGAACAGGCTGCCCAGGGAGGGTGTGGAGTCCCCTTCTTTGGAGATTTTCAAGACCCGCCTGGATGCTCCTGAGTAACATGCTCTAGCTCTGGGCAATCCTGCTTCAGCAGGGGAGTGGGACTAGATGATCTCTATGGTCCCTTCCAACTCTAAAAAATTCAGTGAAATTCAGCGAAATAGAAGCATTCTGGCAATCCTAAAAATTCAGTGAAATTCAGTGAAATGGAAGCATTCTGGCAATGCAGCCTTTTGCCTTGATTTGCTGCGGGGTCAAACAAGCACCGGGATCATTCCCAGGGAAAGGAGGGGGAAAACTCAGGAATGGGAAATTGTGCCCTTATATTTTAAGAGCTGCAGCAAGCTGTTAGACCACTATATCCACATTATATCTGCACTCACGTTGTATCCTCATCCTCGGTGCCACAGAGATGATTTTTAAAAAGCCATACAGAAAATAATTATCTCTGTGACACGTTCAATATTTTTGCTTAGAAGTAGAGCAAATTGAAAATACCGTCGAGGTATTTTTATTTCTGTATAAAAATAGTACCTGTAGTTTTAGAGTAAATGGCCCTTGATTTTAAGAAAGTTGTTTGGGGGGGGGTGAAAAAAAATCAGAAAAAAACCTGGAAAACTCTTCTTTTTAGTGATGTTAACAGAAGGCAATTCTACTTTCCGTTTTAAATCGGGATTTGTTTTGATTTGGGTGTGTGGGTGTGTGTGTTGCTGCTTCATAAGAAGGCCGGAAGTTTTGACTTCAGAGAAGTGTTTGAGCACGAAAGGGAAATGTGCAGGGAACCACAGGGGGCTGTTCGAGAAGGCAGTGGGGAAATATTATGAAATGCCACGATTTTCTAGGAAATGTGAAATTGGAGAATGTGCAAAGTGTTGTGGGCTAATAGGAAAGTAAGAAGTGTGAATTTTCACTGGCCGGTTTTTACTGAGAAGCCTCTGCTTTCTCTCGTGGCAGAAGCTGTAATTCTTTTCATCAAAGCCTTGAGGAGCATTAAGTGGTCATTTGTTTGGTGGTGGAGAAAAAATTCGTATAAAATTCAGCTTTTTTGGGTGGAGGGTGTGGGAAGGAAAGGGAGTTGTAGCCATTAAATCAAGGTGAGATTTGCATTTCCTTGCCACAAATTATTCTCTTAATTCAGGCAAGTCACTTGGGTTCACAACTTCACAAACTCTGCCTGATGTTAAATCCCAGATGCTCAGGGTGCTCAGGGTTCCAAAAAATATCAGGGCTTTTTTTGCAAGTTCAGGTAGGATTTGGGGAGTAAATTTGGGCATCTTGTTTCTAGTTTCACTTGTAACTATTACAAAGGGAGGGCAGTGATTGCCCTGATTTCCCTGGAGAGCTTTGGCATCCAACAAAAGGCAACAGGAGGGAAAGGTATCTCCTCAACTTCATTTTTGCCCAGTTTAAACCCAGAAATTTTGATGTAACAGCTTTAGGCATCAATTGCTGTCACAGTGGTGAAAGGATTTCCTACTTTCTCAAAGATAGTTGTTGTTTTGTGTCTCTAATTTCAGTTTCAAACTTTGTTTCCTTTTCCAGTTATTAATTTGTGGAATTGGTTTACAGTTTCTTTAAATTGCTATAAATCTGCTTCTCTTTGAAACTTGCTCTTTTTGAGGGATGTATTTGTTGTTTAATAAGAAAAAGGTTATTTACTCCTGTGCTTAAACTACTCAAACTTTGTGTTGGAGACAGAAGCACTTGTCTCCTTTCTCAGAGCAGTAAAGCAGACTGAAAACCACAATTGTTCAGAAAACGTGTCTTTACCATGCACAAGATATTTATGTTTCGAACTGAAGTGCTCAAACTCTTAATAATTGAGTACTTTTGTTTGTTTTGTAAAAGCAACCAGTGGTTTTCATTCTTTCTCTTTAAAACACCATCATAGCTCTGCCTGGGGAAAAATAGAGAAACCAAACGTGTGTTTTGAACAGTAAATTTTAGGGTTTGGGGTTTTTTTTATTTTATTTATTTTATTCTCAGTGTGGGTATCATTTACAAGCAATACCTGCCTTTCATTTCTATGTTTCTTTTTCATATGTAATATTGAGACTTGTGGCACAGTTTTGTGGTCTCCATGGACTTGGAACACTCTGTCCAGTTCTGGGCTCCCCAGTTCCAGAAGGACAGGGAGCTGCTGGAGAGGGGACAGCAGAGGCTACAGAGATGATGAGGGGCCTGGAGCATCTCTCTGCTGAGGAAAGGCTGAGGGACTTGGGGCTTTTTAGTCTGGAGAAGAGAAGGCTGAGGGGGGATCTGATCAAGGCCTATAAATACTTCAAGGGTGGGTGTCAGGAGGATGGGGCCAGGCTTTTGTTAGTGGTGCCCAGGGACAGGACAAGAGGGAACGGGCACAAACTTGACCATAGGAAGTTCCACCTAAACCTGAGGAGGAACTTCTTTGCTGTGAGGGTGGCAGAGCCCTGGCAGAGGCTGCCCAGGGAGGTGGTGGAGTCTCCTTCTCTGGAGACATTCAAAACCCACCTGGACACATTCCTGTGGGACCTGCTCTGGGTGGACCTGCTCTGGCAGGGGGTTGGAGGAGATGATCTCCAGAGGTCCCTTCCAACCCCATGTCATTCTGTTGATTCATTCTGCGTGACCTGCAGTGCCATTAAAAGCAGTCTTTCACCCTCATCCCTTCAGTGATCCAGCTGCTTGAAGAGGTCCCTGCCAACCCCATAGCATTCTGTTGATTCATTCTGTGTGACCTGCAGTGCCATTAAAGCAGCCTTTCACCCTCGTCCCCTTGGTGATCCAGCTGCTTGTCCCCACCCTCTTGTCATTGGTAATTTGGACTGAGGAACAAACTGTGGTTTAAAGTGATTTGGGGTGGTGTGGAAGGAAGGTGGAGCTTATGTCATGGCGAGACTATGTAATTTGGACTGAGGAACAAACTGTGGTTTAAAGTGATTTGGGGTGGTGTGGAAGGAAGGTGGAGCTTATGTCATGGCGAGACTATTGGTAGTTCCACTTGGGGACCACTACATGCCAGAACTTACTAATTTTACTTCAGAAAAGGGAGGATCAGGCAGAAGAGATGGTGTCTCTCTGGTTCTGAGCAGACTATTGGTAGTTCCACTTGGGGACCACTACATGTCAGAACTTACTTATTTTACTTCAGAAAAGGGGGATCAGGCAGAAGTTCTGAGCACAGGGTAATGCTCTTTGGTGCAGAGGCATTTGTTTGTGGTAGGAAAGAAGCTTAAATACGTGCATTCCTAAATGCTGGAAAACTTCCCAACTTGGGCTCTCAGATTTGAAAAGGAATTGTTGAGGTTCCCCTCATTGAAGCACAGATATTGCGAGATGTGACCAGATAATATCTTAAATTGAATTCCAGTTGTGTTTTGGAGGTACAGTCACATCTCAGTGTCACCTTGGGAAGCTACATGAGCAAAAGGTGGGAGCAGTAGAAGGTTGCAGGTTCCTCACCCGACCATTCCTATGACTTGGAGGGGTGGAGATGATGGTGTTTGGTTTCCTCTACCAAATGTCTGCTCTGTGTGTGTGGTTCTGTGGTTTCTGGATGAAAAAAATGTTCATTATGTCACAGAAGACCTTGTAGTGGCGTGACCTGCCCAGGTCCTGGTTTGTGACCTTACACCCCCAGTGAGCAGTGGAGCTGTGCTGGTGTGGGCTTGATGGCTTCTGAGAAGTTCAACCAGTGGGTGGGGAACTGCAGAGTGAGGGGCTTCCCAGCAGCTCTGCCCAGTTGCTGGTGTAGGTGTCTTCTCCTTCCCACCTGGTGGCCATGGGGATGGAGACTTAGTCAAGTGGAAGGGATCTTTGTGGAAAAGTCAACAAGTAAAGCTTGATGATCTTTATTCCTTCATTTCTGCTGCGCTTCTACACTGGTTAGAGAGACCTACACTGCAACTGGTGTCACGCTGTCACCTGCACATCAATTCCCAGCATGTTCTACAACCTCATTTTTCTTTTCTGTGGAGAAGGGTCACTGTTGTGTTTCTGGGCTGTCTGGGGGGAATTGGTTGCAGGGGGGTTGGAGGTTTGATACCGAGTCTCTTTTGGTTTCTAAGCCTTTATTTCTAGTGCTGTCATCAGAGATAGCACGTATAACAACAAAATTAATGCTTTTACCTTGATTTCAGGATCCTGGGCCACCACCACCTTCCCCGTTGATGGGTCTGAAGCCGTTGCAGTTGCTGGAGATCAAAGCCCGGGGGAGATTCGGGTGTGTGTGGAAAGCTCAGCTACTCAACGAGTACGTCGCCGTCAAAATCTTCCCCATTCAGGTAAGTGCAAGTTCTGAGTGTCCTCTGTGTCACTCATGATGTCACAACGTTCAACCAGCTCGTCCTGGTCACAAGAGCAGGCTTTTCTTTCAGAGAAATCTCAAAATATACTGTAAATCTAGACAGCTCAGAGAAATTCTTAAATGCAGGAAATGCCTTGAGCTGAGAGATGTGCAGGTAGAGGTTTCTTGACTTCAAATATATATTTTAATGCAGCAAATGTATTATTGAAACATCAACTCTGTGATACCTCTATCTGTTTCTAGTCCTAAAAACACACGATCGGCGTAGTTTTAAGCAGCTCTTGCCCATCTCTCATCAGTTGAGAAGAATTTGTTAATATTTTTCAAACTAAATTGTACTTGGAAGGAACATCCTGAAATGCAAACCCATAAGATGATTGTTCCAATTAAATATGCCTCAGTTAAGTGAAATAATACTTACTTCTCAGCAAGTTCCTTCTGAGAGCCATGTTTCAGAAGGGCCAGTACTCACAATTTGGAGATGCAGTTTAGTTAAAGAACATGAAGGGATGAGAGGCTGCAGTAGCAGGATCCATCTCACGTTGATTCAAAAGCCCCACCTCTCCTTGAGGTGAAGAAATGTCCTTCTGTTTGCTAATTATTAACTGAGTGTTGAGCTGCTGAATAAATGTATCTCTGGGTCCTCACTCTGCTAGACATGGCAGGGATTCAGGCGGGTTTCAGCCCTCAGCACAGCAAATTAAATTTTTTGTTCATTAATTTTAATGAAGGAAAACCTATTTCTAATTCTTTACGGGGTTCTTGTCGATTAATAAAATATGAGAATTGAGCCATGCTCTTAAGACTAAAGGAATTGTCCCGATTTGCAGCCTCCAGTCCCAGTCGACAGCTCTGTGTTCGCACGGATCCTGTCTGTGAGAGCTGATGTTGTTTTCAACAGCTGATGTTTGTTTACAACAAATGAAAGCTTTTTGGACAATTTTCCGCTCTATGTGAATACGTGAAATGTGAAAGACAGGCTTTCCTGGTTTTTTATATGTTAAGTCAGCAGTTTGGTGCACAAATATTGTTATTAGGCTAAACATTTGTAACGTGAAAACTATCAGCTTCATGAAGTTAATAATATACACTTGGGCTTAGGGCATCCTCTATTGCCAAAAAACTCCATTTCTACTCATTTTGAGAGTTCGTTTACTGTGCATTTGTAAATGAGAGGAGGAAAAGTACCTGTTATTCTGCTTCCCTTTTCTTTGCAGGACAAGCAGTCGTGGCAGAACGAGTATGAGATCTACAGCTTACCCGGGATGAAGCACGACAACATCCTGCAGTTCATCGGGGCGGAGAAACGGGGCACCAGCATCGACGTCGATCTCTGGTTGATCACAGCATTTCACGAAAAGGTACTTGTTACTCCTCAATTTAGTCTCTCTTTTCCTATGGTTATGGCAGAGGAAGAACAGCCTTAGAAATTTGTCACAAAGGTGAACTTTAGACAGTTAAGAAATGAAATTTAACATGGTTTCAAGTGTATTTTTAGCTTGTTTCTTTCCGTTGGATGGGAGTTTATTTACATTTCTTTTCAGCCAGCTGAGAAAGTTGTCATCAGTCTTTACTTAATAGAGGAGTTGTTTTAGAAAACACACATTTATTCTACTTTTCTGCTTTTTAGAGTATGTGATTTTGAATATCCCCTCCCTAAATCTGCCCAGATTAAACAAACTCCATCTTTCAGTTTTCTTTTATTTTTGTTTTCCTTGTGTCTGTAAGAATGAAGTGATATAAGTATCAATTAGATTGTGACAGCCACAATAAGACAAATAAATGTCATTAAGAATGTGTTCACTGTTTTATTTTGTCCACTCAGTTTGGGCTTTTTAATACATGTAACTGTAACAAATCTAAGTATAAATTTAAATTTCAATTTAGTCACCAGTGGCAGATTTGAGGAAATCCAAACCTGTGCAATATAGATCTGTGAATACATTAAGGGTAGCTCATAGATGATATTTCTAATAATGAATGTTATAGTCTTCATTCTGGCATTTTTGTCCCACTTTTGCCTCTGCTTTAAATAATTTAGGCTAAAACTATCCAACTAGTCAACATTTTTGACAGACCTTTGTGATCAAGTAGAGACTTTCAAACTGATTTGCCTTCTGAAAGGTTATTGCCATTGTTTTGTTTATTTGGGTGGGTATTTTGTCTAAGAGTTTTTAAAACACTTGTTAGTGTTGGAAAGGTGGCTTGTTTTGGTTTTTTGGGTGGTTTTTTTTTTGTCTAAGAGTTTTTAGAACACTTGTTAGTGTTGGAAAGGTGGTGCCGGAGATGCCTGATGGAAAATAGGACTTTTTTATTTTTAAAGTGTAGCATCTACACTTTGATGGTGCTTTATTTTTGCCTTTTATTGCTTTTTGACACGGCAACGCGCCGCGGTGACATCTGACAAACCGGATAATGCACAGATCCATGGAAATGGGTGTGTAGAGAGGGGTTATGGACGTGAGTTTGAAGAGAGGAGCTTCACGTTGACTAGATTTTTCTTGTATCTCTTTATATTTATTCAGAGTTTGTGTTTCACTCTGAAACTCTGCTGTGAAACTGTTGCTGGTCCATTAAGAAAAGACTTAAGACTATGAATGAAAGGTCTTAGTGAACAGCTCAGCAGGATCCTTGAAGGTGGATCTACCCTGTGATTTCCTCTGCCTGGAAGGTTACGAATCACCCTCTGAAATCAGGGTGGTTTTATAAAGAACTTAAATATCCTAAGTCCAGCTCCCATTCCTGACACCATTAAGGCCAGTTCATTGGCCAGTGTGCACCAGTGTGGAGTCTAGTGTTGGGCTGTTTGCTTCTTGAGGTGATGTGTAGAAGCATCTTGGTTCTGTTCATGGTCTGGAGATGATGCAGAGGTTGATTTTGGGGTGTTCAAACGAGCAGCTGATGGCGCATCAATGCGTGTGATTATAGGGTCTGTCAGAAAAGAGAGGAAGGCAGAGGGGCATTGCGTGTTCTTCAGTGCTGGAGACCATCTAGAAGTTTCCTTTATGAGCAGATGACAATTAAAATGAGCTTGTAATTGTTTTTTTTTTGCTGTGCAGGGTTCATTAACAGACTTCCTGAAGGCTAACGTGGTTTCTTGGAACGAGCTGTGTCACATTGCTCAGACCATGGCTCGAGGCCTGGCCTATCTCCACGAGGACATTCCGGGCCTCAAAGATGGGCATAAACCTGCCATCTCCCACAGGTAGAGTCTGGCTGGGATATTAATTAAATTTAACTTTGAGCTAAGGGGTATGAGACATGGACAGGTAAGAGACATCCCACTAATTACTCTGTGATACCTTCCTTCTGGAATTATCAAGAGCCTCATAAGAAAAATCTGGTGATAAGCAAAAATGTGATGGTCTATAGAAGGTGGTGTGGTGATCGTGGTTAATATCAGACATTCTTCTTTTTTTTTATACAGTTAATTATTTAAGTATCCTCTCCAGTATATGAAATAATTAGTATTACAGCTATTTGAAACAACTTCTGTATATAACTTTAATACTGGATGCCTTCAGACAGAAACACGCTGTAAATGTTACATCTATTACTAAGTGTAATTGCAGTTTTTTCATGAAGTAGGTGTAGAAAACTATTCAGAGAAGTAGGGAGCTGAGAGGATAATGTAGCCACAATAAAAGACAGGCAAATAGGGTAAGAAAAGTACACATTCTGGAGAATTTGGGATTTCATGAGTGGAACGGCTCAACTGGAGGTAAATGTGGAGGGTGGGGGGGCACAGGGGGCAGGTGGGACCCTGGATGGAGCCCAGAATCTCTTGTTTCTGCAGGAAATCAAGTATCTCCTTGTTAGAAACAACCAAGGGTCATTTTCAAACTGTTTTGTTTCCTATTATTTACACAAACAGAATGTAGTTGTAATTAAACAACTCAGTAACTACAGTTTTATTCTGTTCCTATCCCACGTGCTTATAAATCTGTGTGTATTGAGAACTGAGCACAAAATGACCATTCCAGTTGCTGTCTCACGTATTTCCATAAGAACAAAGGTTTGCACGTGTACACACACCAGGTTTTATTATTCTTTTGTTGTTTAAATGAATAATTTCCATGTCTTTCATATTATATTTCAAATATATATGTATTTCATATATATCTCTCATATTATAATATTCTTTGGTATATTATATTACTTTTTTCTTTAGAACTCTATATGGTATTTCATGTTCTATATCTCTAATGATTTATTTATTTTTTCCTTACCTTGAAAGGGACATCAAAAGCAAGAACGTGCTGCTGAAAAATAACCTGACAGCTTGTATTGCTGATTTTGGCCTGGCCTTAAAGTTTGAGGCTGGGAAGTCAGCAGGGGACACGCACGGACAGGTACAGACCTCTGGTGGCAGAAACCATCCAAGAGTGAGCGGTGTGTGGATGGACATGGATGGGTTGGGTGGTATTCCTGCCTGGGATACGGCATCATCAACCCTGCTTTCAGTGACCTGGAAGGACTGGGGGAATTAGTGCTTTCTCTCAGGCTCAAAATGAAACAGTTCTTTAGATCACAGAGTCACAGAGAAATGAAACAGTTCTTTAGATCACAGAGTCAGAGAATGATCCAGGGTTGGAAGGATCATCTCCTCCAACCCCCTACCAGAGCAGGTCCACCCAGAGCAGGTCCCACAGGAACGTGTCCAGGTGGGTTTGAATGTCTCCAGAGAAGGAGACTCCACCACCTCTCTGGGCAGCCTCTGCCAGGGCTCTGCCAACCTCAAAGTGAAGAAGTTCCTCCTCAAGTTTAGGCGGAACTTCCTGTGGTCAAGTTTGTGCCCGTTCCCTCTTGTCCTGTCCCTGGGCACCACTGAAAAAAGCCTGGCCCCATCCTCCTGACACCCACCCTTGAAGTATTTATAGGTGTTGATCAGATCCCCCCTCAGCCTTCTCTTCTCCAGACTAAAAAGCCCCAAGTCCCTCAGCCTTTCTTTGTAAGAGAGATGCTCCAGGCCCCTCATCATCTCTGTAGCCTCTGCTGTCCCCTCTCCAGCAGTTCCCTGTCCTTCTGGAACTGGGGAGCCCAGACCTGGACCCAGTGCTCCAGATGGGGCCTCCCCAGGGCAGAGCAGAGGGGCAGGATGACCTCCCTCCACCTGCTGGCCACACTCTTCCTGATGCCCCCCAGGATGCCCTTGGCCCTCTTGGCCACAAGGGCCCATTGCTGCCCCATGTTCACCCTGTTGTCCACCAGGACTCCCAGGTCTTTCTCCTCAGAGCTGCTCTCCAGCAGGTCACCCCCAACCTGTCCTGGTGCAGGGGGTTACTCCTCCCCAGGTGCAGCACCCTGCACTTGTCCTTGTTGAACTTCATCGGGTTCCTCTGCCCAACTTTCCAGTCTGGCCAGTCTGGAAGACTCTCCAGAATATATTTCATGGATATATTTCATTTTAGGCAGAATTTCACAGTTTGTGGTCCAAGGGCAAAAAAAAAGTCAATACAATAAAATGATAAATTTCAGAGCACCATAGGTGTTACCAGGATCATCTTCAGGCATCTCAGAAGTTCTGATTTATTCAGATGAGATAATTTCATCATTGAATGTGGTCAAAAAGAAGGTTCAGTTTTTGATGGAACAGCCAGTTTTGTGTAAGGGATTCCGGAGAACTTTCTCATTTGCACTGGGGGAGCTGGTTTTCCTCTGCTGTTTTTGTTACTGCTTCTGTCACGGGAAGAAACAGAAGCAGTTTTCCCATCTTTATGTGAAATTAATAATTCTTTTGACGTGGAAAAAATAGGAATAGTGGCCTTCCTGTAATCTGGAAGAAAACAAGGAATGGCGGTGACAAATACGTTGAATTAATATGCAAATATGTTATTTTAAAATATATTCTGGTTTTTTCTGCTTCCTAAGTATCCTTTGTAAGACCTGCTCTATCCCATTGCTTCTAATCCCTGCGATTGGATATAAGGATAGAAGACACTTCCCAGGTTTGCTCCTGAGCGAGGATAACCACGGCGATTTTTAGTCTTTGCCAAAAGATTATTGGAATCGGCCCCGGCCGGAGCAGGAATTGGGGGGGTGGAGGTTCTCAGGTGTTGAAACCCTTGTGCTGTGCTCTCTCCCCAGGTGGGTACCCGAAGGTACATGGCTCCCGAGGTCCTAGAAGGTGCTATCAACTTCCAAAGGGACGCCTTTCTGAGGATAGACATGTACGCCATGGGCTTGGTCCTCTGGGAGCTGGCGTCGCGCTGCACGGCCGCCGACGGTGAGCGATGGGTCGGGGCCTGGAAATCCTTCCCTTGGTCTGGGAGAGGAGTAGTGAGAGCAGGAAAAGGGGAAGGTCGATTATATGTAGGGAATTAAATTTAATAAGGGTGGTAGGGGATTTCTCTCATCGAAGCCACCAGGAGCTGGTGGGTACTGGAGCCTCCCTGGGAAGTTCATAACCTTTCGGCTGCCACACGCAGAAGAGCAAAGGCTTCCCCCTCCCAAAACTGCCTCTGCTGCTCAATTAAAATCTTCATTTTTAACTTGTAAAATTTTTAGCTTTTAAAAAACCACTTTAGCTCGCAGCCAGCCTGCCATAGGGCGAGCTTTTAATGGTGCCAGAGAGCAAACTGCTCCCCGAGAGTCTGGTGATGGGCTACGTTGCTCAGAGACCAAGCTGATTATTCTTTTCTCCTTTTTTAAAAGCCAAATTTGTGGTTTAACTTCTTATTTTTTAAATTTCTTTTCTCCATAGGCCCGGTAGATGAGTACATGTTGCCATTCGAAGAAGAAATCGGGCAGCATCCCTCCCTGGAGGACATGCAGGAGGTTGTAGTTCACAAAAAGAAGAGACCCGTGTTAAGAGAGTGTTGGCAGAAACATTCTGTAAGTAGCAACACACCCAAGCGCTTCTGAGTCCGGGCACCCTTTGGGGTTCAGATTTTGTTCATAATCCTGTCTTTTTTAGGAAGAATTCAATAATTCTGGTAATAATTAAATGGTCTGTGAAGTGATCTGTTCTCACTCTTAAAATATTCTCTCTTGATCTGAAAGCGAGTGATCTTTTTGAATGAAAAGATGTTCTAGAGAGTTACTTTTGCATGTTAAAAATGGATTTAAGGAATAATAATCGTCTTGATTTCCTACAGGGATGTGACATGGGGCGAGCAGTGTCACGTGAGGAATTTCTGGGAGCAGTTAGGCAGGAATTGCTTCCCTGCTCTGGTTGATGGCTGGAGACTTGTGGTTACACCACTGCTAATTCCTAGCCCTGCTTTTATTTTGGGTTTTGTTGTTTTCTTTGGGTTTTTTTGTTGTTTTTTTTAAAATGGGTTGTTAGAAACAATAGATGACGCTGTCTGTCTGCAAGAAAAAGGAGTGTGTGTTCCCATCTGCTCCTGGTGATGAGCAGTTGCTGGATTAGCTCAGAGTCACCGGGGAGAGGAGTTAACTCCTGCCAGCCAGAAACCCCCTTTCCTCCCCTGGGATTTCCACGGGACCACTGAAAAGTTCTACCTCTTTTGGTGTGAGAGCTTTTTAAAACACCACGAGGTGCTGGAGCGGGTCCAGAGAGTGGGTCCTTCTTTGTTCCAGAGAAGGGCAACGGAGCTGGTGAGGGGTCTGGAGCACAAGTCTTGTGAGGAGAGGCTGAGGGAGCTGGGGGTGTTCAGCCTGGGGAAGAGGAGGCTGAGGGGAGACCTTCTGGCTCTCTCCAACTCCCTGAAAGGAGGGTGTAGAGAGGTGGGGGTCGGTCTCTTCTCCCAAGTCACAGGCGACAGGACAAGAGGAAACAGCCTCAAGTTGCACCAGGGGAGGTTCAGATTGGAGATTAGGAGAGATTTTTCCACAGAAAGGGTTCTCAGCCATTGGAATGAGCTGCCCAGGGAGGTGGTTGAGGCCCCATCCCTGGAGGTGTTCAAAAGACGGGTTGATGTAGTGCTGGGAGGTATGGGTTAGTGATGGTGATGCTTCTTGTTTGTTGTGTGGGTGTCTATTTTTGTCAGTTAGGTTGATGGTTGGACAAGATGATCTTTGAGGTCCCTTCCAACCTAGAAGATTCTGTGATTCTGTGGTGGGATGAAAGGCATTCCCTCGCTGTTGCGTATATTGTTTAAATAAGTGCGTCCCTTCCAACCTAGAAGATTCTGTGCTTCGGTGGTGGGGTGAAAGGCATTCCCTCGCTGTTGCATATATTGTTTAAATAGTGGAAAATAAGTAAGATATAAAGCCCCAGATGACAGAGTAGGTTCCACACCCAAGGTGGCAGAGCTTTGTAGAAGTTGCTCCTGGTTGTGTGTGCGGTTGGTTTGTGACCAGGCTGTGTCTGTGGCAGGGGATGGCGATGCTGTGCGAGACCATCGAGGAGTGCTGGGATCACGACGCGGAGGCCAGGCTGTCGGCGGGTTGCGTGGAAGAGCGCATCATCCAGATGCAAAAACTAACTAACATTATCACCACAGAGGACATCGTGACTGTGGTCACCATGGTGACAAACGTTGACTTTCCTCCCAAAGAATCCAGTCTATGATAGTTGCACTGGTGACACAACTGCCCGCCGGGGACTCTCTGCACTGGAGCTGCTAACGCGGAGGCGCCGGGTCCGGTGGGGAAGGAGCAGGAAGTCTCTCTCCGGAATTTCATCGCCAGGTGATTTTTCCTTCATTTATTATTATTTTTTTTTCTCCTTTCCCTCCTCCCCGAGAGGGATCCGTCAGACTTTGTGCATTCCCTGCTCACACCCCCAGGGTGGGGGGGGGGGGGGTGTCCCAGGAACGACACCGCGCCCCGAAAGGAACTGAAAATGAAGAATCCGGAGCCGCCCCGGCGTTAATCGAAGCGTTTTAAAAACTGACATCAGATTTCTTAAAACCCCCCCCGTCGGAAGAGACTAATTCCTTTAAAGGAACTACTGTTATTTTTTTTAAAATCAAACATTTCATTTCAGATCGAAAACAAAAAAACAAACCACAGACAAACCAACAACAACAACAACAACAAAAAAAAGGGTAACTTGTTTTTATTGCATTTGCCGTTGTTTATAAAAATGACTCTTGTTAATGCCAATATGACACAGCTTGTGAATGTTGAGTGTGCTGCTCTTCGGTGTACAGAAACAAAAAGGAAATAATCCAGTGGGATCTAGCAAAAAGAGGCTTCCAAGTATTAACTTCAAACCTCCCTCAACAAGGTATACCTCAGCTCCACCGCCGCCAAACCGCCCCCTCGACGACAACACTAAGGCAATTGGAATAAGAAACCCAGCCGTGTTTTGTAAATGATGTATTTCAAAGTCACTGTGTTATTTAAAAAAAGAAAAAAAAAGAAAGAAAAAAAAAAAAAAAAGGGTTAAGCTATGCTTCATGCCAACAGTAAATGGCCATTCCTAAAAGCAGTGTTTTTAGCCTTTTTCTTGTACTAGCTTGTTGTGTATAAAAAAAAAAAAAAAAAAGAAGAAAGTGCTGTTTATTGAAACAAAAAATTTTTCCTTCCTCTTTGAGTTTAAAAGCTTTTTCTCTGACCTCCATTTCCCAGAGTATCCCATCCCTTTATTTAACTGAATACTATTTAGGTTTGCTGTGTCTGAGGAATATTTGAAAACTTAAGCATGACTTTTTCTTTTTTTTTTTTAAATTTTCTGTGAGCTCTGACACTGGAAAGCTCTGAATTCTTGTTAGTTTTTTTTTTTTTTAAAAAACAAAAAGTCTTTTCTTTTCCTATTTATGTTTGTGCCCAGGTGTGCCTCGCGCCTGCTCTGTCCCACTAAGCAGTGGGTTCTGTGTCACTGTTTCAGGATCACCTCAGGAAGCTCAGTTCTTTGTGTTTTTTACCCCAAATTCTTTCCTTTCTGCTCCGAGATTTCCCCCGGTGCCGTTTTAGCCGAGTCCTGATTCGCGTCTGGGAGACGTTGGGTTATCCCGGAATCCTATGGAAATTTCTAGCCCCAGATGCTAAATCCTTACAGATTTTCAGGGATGCTTGAGTTCTGCTACAGCTCGGAATATGCCATGACCAGCCCAAATTCCAGAAAATGAGGGAAAAGCAGTGAAATGGCTTTCCCCACTCCGCTGCCTTATCTGGGAGTGACAGAGCGGTTGGTTGGGGGGCAGGTGCCAAAGCGCTTCTCCCAGGTACCGTTTCGCCGCCTTCATTGGATCCTTTCCACAAATTTCCAAGTAAAACTCCACTTGATGACCCCGTAGAGCGCAGAACCCCCCGCTGATGTGTCTCCTGCTCTGGCTTCTGGAGGTTTGTCTTTGGTTTTCCACCCCCTGCCTTCAACAAGAAGCTTTAAACTTTGCCATTCGGAGCTCGCTGAGTGTTCCCTGGATAATGGAGCTGTAGAGGCAGGAGGGACCCTCGGTTCTACACCTGGAGGGATCTCTGGGATCAACCAGAGAGGATGTGGGTAACAGGAGGAGGCTGTGGGCAGGGAGAGAGGAAGGCTCAGGTGGTGGTGGCTGGCTCCTGGTGCCCTCGGTGCCCAAGGAACCCTGCTCTGGAAAAAAACCCAAGAAATCTTAATTTTTGGCCAACTTCTTCTCTTGACACTTTGGTTTTGCTTCCATTTTTTAATCCCAGGCCATGACTTCCCCAGCAGGACAGGGACGTAGCTCTGAGTTCTGAACAAATGAGATGGTTTCATGACGTGTTACTCGTCCAAAAATTGGTCGTGTGTGACCCGTGTGTCATTGGGGTGTCACCCCTTGGACTTCAGGTTCTCCTGGTGACGTTGAGGGACTCTGGTGTCACCTGGACCCTTCACCCTGCAAAGGGCACCCGGGAGGGGGTGATAACCCCCCCCACCTTCCATATCGTACTGCTTTAACAGTGTAATTGAGCTGGTTTTAGCCTAAACGCTTTTTAATTGGTAAAAATACCCCCTCCCTGGAGCTGGTCTGGTCTCAACGCTTCTGGCCGGGCATTTTGAGGTGTGTCTTTGTTTTTAGAGCATTAATTGTGGAGGTTGTGAGCGCTGTCCCATGGTGTCCCATGGTGGGGGTGTGAGCTCCACAGAGTCCCCTCCGAGGAACATCCCATCCCTTGCTCTGAACTTCAGCTGCCACAAGGCCCAGGACCGAGGCTTCTCCACCCCTCCAGAAGGTTTTTACTCCTTCCGTTGGGTTGGAGGGTGAGCCCTTTGTGCCCCACATCCTTGGGGAGCAGGTGGAGTTGTTGGAGTAGCACCATCATCAGGGATGGGACCCTGACACCCAACTCACCACTTCCTCCCTTCCCTCAGATGTACAGAGCGGGTGTAACTTTCCAAAAATCCCACTTTGGGTGGGGGAATTGTACCCATCAGCCATCACACAGCTCCTGCTCCCATCAGCATTTGACAGAGGACAACAGCGTCACCAGTTTGCTCTTATTTCTTTTTTTTTCAGCTTCTCCTTTTTTTTTTTTTAAACCCTTTTTGAATCCATTTCCTAGGAACACTTGGTACAAACCACAGGAATAGCCCTCCCTGGGCAAACCCGTTGCCGTAGCATCCTCCACGGGCCATCTCTTACCTCAGATACTCAACCAGCAGTACTTCTCTCTTTTTTTTTTTTTTTTTTTTTCCTTTTTCTCATTTTTATTTTTTTTTTAACGCCGTTTCAGTCCATAGACTTCATTCGTTACCTCTCCAGATTTTTTGGTAAAGCGATTATTTTAACTTTTCCTCTTTGTATTTTGTCAGTGTTTCGGGCACAGGTTGTTGTACTACTGTCAAAAGGTACTCGCTGGGGTTTTTTTTTCTGCAAGTACCGAAAACAAACCAACCCCTTCCCCTTCCCTCCCTCCCTTCCTCCCCCTCAATAAAGTGATTGTTAAATATTGTACAAATAAAAATGTATACTCTCTCTCCCCTATTCCCCCAGAAAGTTAAAATAAAAAATGTGACTACTATGATGCGCAGGTGCTTCTTTTTTGGAATTGCAGCACAAAAATGACTACTTTTGTATTGAGTTTGTAATTGTGGCCTGTTCTGATAGAGGTTTTCGGAGATGTTACTTCCAGGAAATACATCCTAAGGTTTTCCACAATCCTGGTATTTATTTAAAGAGGAAAGGCTGAGGAATTTGGGGCTTTTTAGTCTGGAGAAGAGAAGGCTGAGGGGGGATCTGATCAATGCCTATAAATACTTCAAGGGTGGGTGTCAGGAGGATGGGGCCAGGCTTTTTTCAGGGACAGGACAAGAGGAAATGGGCACAAACTTGAACATAGGAAGTTCCATCTAAACCTGAGGAGGAACTTCTTTGCTGTGAGGGTGTCAGAGCCCTGGCAGAGGCTGCCCAGAGAGGTGGTGGAGTCTCCTTCTCTGGAGACATTCAAACTCACCTGGACACGTTCCTGTGGGACCTGCTCTGGGTGGGGCTTGGACTGGATGATCTCCAGAGGTCCCTTCCAACCCTATATCATTCTGGGATTCTGCTGCTTTTCAAAACACTGCTCTTCTCTTGAAACTGTGTGGTTCTGTCAACAGTTAGCTTTATGAAGCAGCAGAGAAAGCAAAATAAAATTGGCCTTAGAACAGAAACAAAGGTCTCCCACCTCTGACCCACCATCACTGGGATCTCCTCAGCTTTTTGACCGGCTGAAGCCACGGGGCTGCTAAAAAAACGTGGATTTCTCTAGTGTAGACTTGAAGGTAAGAGTGATCTGACTTACTCAGGGCAGAGAAAGCATCATCCTCTGACATGGCCCTATTCCAGCCACCAGGTGGGACCCAGCACTTCCTGACCAGCGTGGCACCAAACCTGGAACACAGACACAGTGCCAATAAATAGTGTTCTGCACCTTCCACATGGACCTTCTGCTAAACCAGCTCCAAACCCCCTTCCTCACCCTGCAGCGTCACTGACTGCGCCTCTGTCACGGGGCTCCAGAGCTGCCCCCGCCCAGGGAGACACGCGCCCTTCCAAAATCCAACAATCCAGCAGCAAATTTAAACTTCTTGCAAAAATTTATTACTCTGCACCCCCCGCCGTGGGGGAGGCACCACGTTTGGGTGTAGAAAAAGTGCTACTCCAAGCTCCAGGGAAGTTCAGAGCCAGCTGAGGGAGGAGGTGGCCCACTGCTTGACGTCTGTGGGGCAGTTGGGATACACCTGCAAAGCGTCCATGATCTGGTTGTTGTCCAGAAGCAGCTTCATGAGGAGGTACTCCTTCTGCATGCGAACCGACGGTCTCTCCAGCGGCTTCACCAATTCCAGCTGGATCAAGTGTTCAAATGCCTAAAAAACAAACAAAAGAAAAAAAAAAAATACATCAGGAAATGGAAGATAACGGCGTTTCGCTCCTTTTGGGTGAAGGCTGGGCCTTGGGTGCAGTCCAGGAGCTCAACAAGCAGCAGTTTTACACCCTACGGCCAGGGCCTGGCAGAACCAGGCTGGTGGAGAGACAGCCCCATGGCCCAGGTGGCCACCAGGGATCAGGATGGCAACTAAAATACTGGTTTTCAGTCTGCACTTTGGACTGTAGTTGGTTGAGGCAAACCCAGCCCTATGTGGCCAAACCCTACGGCCAGGGCCTGGCAGAACCAGGCTAGTGGAGAGACAGCCTGATGGCCCAGGTGGCCACCAAGGATCAGGATGGCAACTACAATACTGGCCAATGATATCATGGCCTGTGTCAGGAACAGCGTGGGGAGTAGGACCCAAGAGGTGATGGTCCCCCTGTCCTGGGCACTGGTGAGGCCCCACCTCAAGGGCTGTGTCCAGTTTGGGGCCCCTCGCCACAAAAAAAAAGACATTGAGGGGCTGGAGCGGGTCCAGAGAAGGTCAACGGAGCTGGTGAGGGGTCTGGAGCACAAGTCTTGTGAGGAGAGGCTGAGGGAGCTGGGGGTGTTCAGCCTGGAGAAGAGGAGGCTGAGGGGAGACCTTCTGGCTCTCTCCAACTCCCTGAAAGGAGGGGGGAGCCAGGGGGGGTCGGTCTCTTCTCCCAAGGAACAGGCAATGGGACAAGAGGGAATGGCCTCAAGTTGCACCAGGGGAGGTTCAGGCTGGAGATTAGGAAACATTTTTACATGCAAACGGTTCTGAAGCCTTGGAATGGGCTGCCCAGGGAAGGGGTGGAGGCACCATCCCTGGGTTTATTTAAAAGTCGGGTTGACATAGAGTTTAGTGACATGGGTTAGTGATGGGTTTTATCAGAGTGAGGTTGAAGGTTGGACTGGATGATCTTAAAGGTCCCTTCCAACCTGGACAATTCTATGAGTCTATGAAATTGATGCCATAAACCAGGCTGAGCTACTGGGATTAAGGAAAGCAGGGTTTTTTTGGATGTGGTAAAATTAATTAACATTTTGGAGACATGACTTCTAAACAGCAGAAGTGAAGGATCTGAAGACACCTCCAAAGATCCCTCTTTTTGGAAGCCATTTCTGATACCATCATTCTTGCCCAACACCAGTCCTGAACCAGTTAAAGAGAGTCCTTATCCTGGTACTAAACTCTTCCACCTGTAATTAGTGACCAGCTGGGCCCAGCCTCGAGCTCTGCCCCCCCAGGGAAGGTGGGTGCCCAGACTCCCTTCTACCACCCAAACCATTACTAGAGAAAACCCCAACCTCTAAACACTTCACAATTAAAAAAATAAAATAAAATTACATTTCAGGCTTACCTTCATGACGACCGGCTTCTCGAAGTTGTTCATACAATGTGCCTTCCTTTGTATGAACTTCTGGAATTCTGTGTCAGTAACAGGGAGGAAAAAAATGTTAGTTAAGGGGAAGTGAAGTGATTTAGTGTTTGTAAAGTCCCTGTGTTTCTCTCACCATTGTAAACCATCTGGAAGTTAAACGGTTCTCCTTCATAGACATCGTTTAAGTGTTTCATAGCTATAATTAGGCAGATTTCCAGGACAGACAAACCTAGAGGGAAAGACAAGAGCTCTAAATAGTTCTCTTCGGGATATCAGAAACACAAGCATTCCCATAACTGGTTTTATTCCTCTATTTTGATGAGCTGCAGCCTCACCTATTGGTGTTACCCATCCTCATCGTGTAAAATAGAACAATAATCTGGAATTGGAGAAGCCAGGAGCTCTAAATAGTTCTCTTCGGGATATCAGAAACACAAGCATTCCCATAACTGGTTTTATTCCTCTATTTTGATGAGCTGCAGCCTCACCTATTGGTGTTACCCATCCTCATCGTGTAAAAAAAAACCCAATAATCTGGAATTGGAGAAGCCAAACAAGAGATGATTTGTTTTCCAGGTATTTGAAGCAAGAATGGTAAGAAATGGGCTGCTTCCATCAAAAAGTGAGACATTTAAGTATAAAGAAACCCCATCGTTGTGGATTGTACGGCGTGACATGGAAAGCTGAGGAGCATCAAGACAATGGCTGTGCTGCTGCAGAGCGTGGCACGGAGTGGGAGCACGAAGAGGTTCTTCATGATTCCAAGCTAAAGAAGTGACAGAGGGAGTGGGCTCCACGGTGCTACAGGAGACACTCATAATCCTGGACCCAGCCAACCCACACCTGGGACATCTGGGAGCTGTGAAGAAGCTCTGGGCTGAGCTAATTTTTCCTGCTGAGGGAAGGGATTCCTCACAGAACTCTATTTGGGCAGAGGGATTCCCTGTCCCAACAGGGGACACGGTGCCACAGGGTGTCCCTGACATCAGGAGGGCTCCAGGGAGGGACCTGACACGTCCCACGCTCCTATAAAATGTTTTTGGGGGAAAAAGCTGAGCTTTACCGTGCACGATGTTTGCTTTTGAGTCCATTCTGATCTGCTTGTTCACTTCTTGAAGGTCTGCGGCAGTGATGAGCGGGTGATGCACGGTAACGTTACTTACAGCAAGCATCTAAAAATAAAGCAGAAGCCGTTTTTCACTTAATTACTAATTACCAGACATACTTTCTGCTTGGAGATGGAATGCAGAGGAACACATTTCCCCTGGAGTCACCTACTGGAAAGAAACAGCAATGAATAAACCCTACACCCAGAGCAGGCTCCTACTGAAAACCTGGTAAATAGCTGGTAGCTACAACTACAGTTTGCCAGGAAGGTTTCCCAGGCTTTAAACTTTATCTCACTGGAGGAGATAAACACTCATTAACTTGTTTATATTAATTTCAATGGATTAGCATACTCCAGGGATTGCTGTGAGAATGGCTTACAACTGTTTTGAACACCCTCGTGTCACTGGAAGCGTCTGATGGCACCTCTCAGTTCACAGAGCACGAGTTGTCCCCCCCAGAACCCTGGCTAAAGTCCCCCCCTCGTTAAGACTTCAATCTTTAACAATCTTTAGCTGCCTGTCTCAGAAACTGAGTTTTGAACAAGTGGAAGTTAATAAATACATAGTTAACTGGCCTCCTCTGATACCACTTTCTCTCAAAGCTACTGATTATCCACAAGCCTTTATTACAGGAGAAAAGCTATTTATTTTGTCCAATTAATTGAGGTCTTTCCCTGAGAACACCCAACGCTATCTACCACCAGCCTTCTCCACTCCTCCACAGATGTCAACGGAGCAGCCTCAAAGAGCAACATGATCATTGCAGCTTCCAAAGGCACAGGGTGAGGGTTTATATTATAAAGACAAAAGGGAACCGGGATAGGGAAGAAGGGGAGGGGTGAGGAAACAGCCCTGAGCCACTAACGGAGTTTGCAGAAGACACCAAGTTGGGTGGGATGTTGATCTGCTGGAGGGTGGAAAGGCTTTGCAGAGGGATCTGAGGTTCACCAAGGCCAAGTGCCAGATCCTGCCGTTGGGTGCCACCAGCCCCCTGCAGCGCTCCAGGCTGGGGGCAGAGGGGCTGGAGCTGCCTGGCAGAAAAGGACCTGGGGGTGTTGGTGGCCTCTTGGCTGAACAGGAGCCAGCAGTGTGCCCAGGTGGCCAAGAAGGCCAACAGCATCATGGCCTGGAGAAAAGGAGGCTGAGGGGAGACCTTCTCGCTCTCTCCAACTCCCTGAAAGGAGGGTGTAGCCAGGGGGGGGCGGTCTCTTCTCTCAAGTCACAGGCAATGGGACAAGAGGAAATGGCTTCAAGCGGTGCCAGGGGAGGTTCAGATTGGAGATTAGGAAAGATTTTTACACAGAAAGGTTTATGAAGCCTTGGAATGGGCTGCCCAGGGAAGGGGTTGAGGTTAAATACCTCCCTGGAGGTATTTAAAAGATGGGTTGACATAGAGCTCAGTGACATGGGTTAGTGATGGTTTTTATCAGCGTTAGGTTGATGGTTGGACCGGATGATCTTAAAGGTCCCTTCCAACCTGGACAGTTCTATGATCCTATGGAAAGAAGGAAAGGAAACTTGCTAAAAGACTTGTTGAATTCTTCCAAGCTTTTCGAGGTTCTGCCCCGCACCACTGAGGTGCTGCAACATGGAAGAGAGACTACATTTCCAGTGAAATCCTGTGAGTTCATCTGATGATGCAGAGTGATGGGGAGCACTAAGTGTAATTTAAAAATAGATGGTCGCTGAAATCAAGTCCTTGCTACCAAGAAGTAGTTAAAAAAAGTAATTAGCAAGAGTAGCTCCAATCTCCCCACCAGCACCCCCCTGCCCACCACAAGGCTCCTCACACCAGCTCAAACAGCAGACTCCTACAGGTTTTTCAAAATTAAGGGCAAATTCATCCCGCAGGGCAATTAATCCACACTTCAGCTAATACAAAAGAACGACACAAGCACTAGGATCTGTGTTATGTACTTTTATGAAGCAAGAGGAGTTCACAGAGTGAAAAAGCCCCTTTCTAAAAAGAAAAAATTCAGAACACGCCGAAGAAAACAATTAGGAAGTTCTGCCTCAGCTCTGGCAGACCTCGGAGCTATTCCCAGAGCCAGCAGCTCTTTTTCTGGCCTTCATTCAAACCACAGAGACAGAATCAACTAGAATTTAACAGACAGAAGAAACACAGAACAAACTGCCGCTAAACTAGAAATAATTTGCAATCTTGTAGCGCGCTCAAGTCGGCAGAGGACTCCCGAAAAGAGGACTGTGATCACGCTGTGTGTGTCACAACTGGAGCAGGGAGCCTGTGAGCTTGTTTTCAGCGTCTAGAAACTCAGTGCTGGGAAAAGCTGCCAGCACTAAAGAGTCCAAGAACAGCCCACCACGGAGCAGGAGGTTAAAATCTGAATGTTTGCACAACGCAAAGCATCAGGTACATTTAGTGGGTTTTTCACACTGCATATAGATATTTTAAGATGGTTAAATAAGTGTTAGTTACCTTCTGTAATGAATGATATTCATGACAGGCTGAGAGAGTTGGGGGGGTTCAGTCTGGAGAAGAGAAGGCTCCGGGGAGAACTTCGAGCTTCCTCAAGGGGCTCCAGGAGAGATGGGGAGGGACTCTGGATCAGGGAGGGGAGCCCTAGGAGGAGGGGGAAGGGTTTGACCCTGAAAGAGGGGAGATGGAGCTGAGATGTGGGGAAGAACTTGTTTGGTGTGAGGGTGGTGAGAGCCTGGCCCAGGTTGCCCTGAGAAGCTGTGGCTGCCCCATCCCTGGAGGGGTTGAAGGGCAGGTTGGAGGGGGCTTGGAGCAACCTGGTCTGGTGGGAGGTGTCCCTGCCCAGGGCAGGGGGTGGCTTTGGATGTTCTTTAAGGTCCCTTCCAACCCAAACCATTCTGTGATTCTATGATATTGCATTCATGTTACCTGTGTTAAAAAACAGGAGTGAGGGAGGCAGATTAGGGAATAAAAAACAAAACAAGAAAAAAAAGAGACCCTCCAAGACTGACCACACGTTAAGCTTTGGCTCATTTGTTATGACAGGAATGTTGTGAGGAAGTTCACTGTCAGCATTTCCTCCTACTTACTCAAAACAGAAATTTCTCAGACTGAAGAGGGAGGCAGGGGTCTAATTCTTCTTCCCACAGTGAGAAGACTTCCATCTCTCCCCCAAGATAACTGGGAGAAGCTGAAGCTGCCAAGCACAATTCTGAAAGCTTCCCCAGGGCCCTTGATGCCAATTAACTTCCATCTCAGTATTTCCAGGGATTAGTAGCCTCAAGCTTCCAGCACCTCAAGATTTAAAAGATTAAGTTGGCATTTCCTGGATGAGAGTCACAGTAACAGAACGAATCCAGGGCAGCATCTGGGCTACCTGAGCTGCTCCATACGTGGAATGAGCTCTGGGAAACAAAGTGGTGCCCAATCATAGAGTTCATAATCAAATTTCGGGAAGGAAAGCATATTTTGAGAGTATTTCACCTACAGTTTTGCTTTGTAAATGGAAAGACTCGGCAAAAGTTATTTTAAATACCAAAAACTCACCAGCATTTTAATTAATCAGTAAACCCTCACAACGTAATCACTATAGAAATCAAACTACTCAAATTAATTAATAAGGCACGGACTGATTAAGCATGCAAGAAACTAGTATTGTCATAAGCCTGCTGAATAGTAAAGCTCAGGTCACTGGCTTTAAAAAACACGAGTGTTGTTCACAGGTTACTGTCAATCAAGAAGATCTTATATCCCTATCCAAATACCTACCAACAGCAAATGGAGGGAGCGCAGGTCTTTGGTGTAGTGGAAAAGATCCTGCAGGATGTTTTTCACTGTTTTATCCTCTGAGAGATGCTAAAATAAAAAAAAAAAATAAGTGATATTTTATTCATCTCAGCAAATCATTTTATTCTCTCCCCAAAAAATACCAGCTGAATTTTAGAACAAGCTCAGCTTGCACGGGACAGTACAACTCTTCCTGTCTAACCTTCACTTTCTGGTCTTTTTTTGTGACACTTTTGATCTCCAGACTTCAGTAAGCAAAGATTCTCCACCACAATTTGATTTATTCCATCTCAAACTCAAACAGTGAAGGGAAATACTCGCCTCAGGTAAAGGCTTTACGCTTAGAATTAAGAAGTTTTACTAAAGCCAAATATAAAGAACTTTAAATACCTGAACATTATTATTCCATGTTTGTGCAAAATACTCATCAGAAAATCCCGCAGGAAGAGAAAGCTGCTCCTTGAATATCCTGATGTATTGTTTAAAATCAAAGGAATTCATCAAATATATCTGTCGGTGTGAAAACCTTGATTTTACTCTCTTCTCCAAGAGCTCCAGGATATCCTAGGGAAAAAAAACAAGAAGTAAAAATCATAATTGAAACAAGCAGATGTTTTTAGTGCACTCTTTGCTACAGTAGAAACTACAAGAGAAAACACCAAAGTAAATCATGTTAAAAAACCCAATTATTAAATTCTCAGGCTTAAAATGTTCTAACAAGACCTTTGCTAATTATTATAATCGACGTGCCTTGAAATGCCTAACAACTAGCCATTTACCCAAAGCACGCGATGCGCTACATCACGCAGGGTAATTAGTTGCTAGGATACCCAGCAAAATTTTTCCATACATTATGTAAATATTTCACTTACTTAAGTCTGCGTTCAAGATGTCTAGAGCCCTGATAGGCTGAACCAAGGTGTCTGTTTAGTAGATCTGGAGGTTGGCAGCTGTCATTTCACCTGCCGTGTGTCAGACTGGAAGAATCCAGCTTAAAAAAAAAACCCTTAAGAGCCAATATTTATCTTCTGAGACTGTCACACAGCACTAAGCAAACCTGCCACAGAGTCACAGAATGATGTGGGGTTGGAAGGGACCTCTGGAGATCATCTCTTCCAACCCCCTGCCAGAGCAGGTCCATCCAGAGCAGGTCCCACAGGAACGTGTCCAGGTGGGTTTGAATGTCTCCAGAGAAGGAGACTCCACCACCTCCTTGGGCAGCCTCTGCCAGGGCTCTGCCACCCTCACAGCAAAGAAGTTCCTCCTCAGGTTTAGATGGAACTTCCTATGTTCGAGTTTGTGCCCATTTCCTCTTGTCCTGTCCCTGGGCACCACTGGAAAAAGCCTGGCCCCATCCTCCTGACACCCACCCTTGAAGTATTTATAGGCATTGATCAGATCCCCCCTCAGCCTTCTCTTCTCTAGACTAAAAAGACCCAAGTCCCTCAGCCTTTCCTCAGCAGAGAGATGCTCCAGGCCCCTCATCATCTCTGTAGCCTCTGCTGTCCCCTCTCCAGCAGTTCCCTGTCCCGGAACTGGGGAGCCCAGAACTGGTCCCAGTGCTCCAGATGGGGCCTCCCCAGGGCAGAGCAGAGGGGCAGGATGACCTCCCTCCACCTGCTGCTCACACTCCTCCCGATGCCCCCCAGGATGCCATTGGCCTTCTTGGCCACAAGGGCACATTGCTGGCTCATGGTCATAAAAACACCAAGTTTTCAGTTGAAGGAAATACAGAAAAGCAACACTCTGGCATCAGAAACAAGCTTTGGGATTTGTCCTTTTAGAGAAACACAGTACTATTCCCCTACCTTTTACTGGGAAGTTTCTAGGAATTTGGGGTGCATCACTATTTTTAAGGGGTTATTGTGTGGTGGATTTAGTGGTTTTACTTGCTCTAAAGAAAGGCTTGAAGAATACTGACATTCCTCACCAAAAAGAGAGTGAAAACAGTAAACAGAGAGTCAACAGTGCAAAATACCAAGACCCCTTTTGGTTTAGAGGTGACGTGCAACAGGGACCAGAGATTTTTTTAAAAAATAAGAAGCAGCAGCAATCACTACAACCATGACACAGTCTCTCAAGACCTTACTTTAATTACATTCAAAAGTAGAGCAATAAGGAGTTCTAGGAGTTCTAAATAATGGGTGAGGAGGATACCAGAGTCAGGACAGTAATAAAGCAAAAGAAAAGATTGCCATTTACTAAATCAACTGTTAACTATTCTATTAGCTTCCATCTGCCCAGCTAAATAGCACCTAAACCAAATCAACCCCAGATTAAGGCTTTGATGAAAGATTTTAATTACCCTTCTTCTTGTCTTAACCCGGCTACCTTCATCACCAATGCAGTTTATTGAGAAAAACAGGGACATTTTTATAAAGCATCCACAGTGTTAGAAAGTCATTACTTCACAGTATACACATAATCCATCCACAGTTCCCTATGACATCCTACATTCCAACTAAGATAAAATTCCCTTTAAAACAGCTAAAAACTTTGACTGAGAAGGTGCAATTTCTTACCTGTCTACACGTAAGTCCGATAACCGTTACCGGGGTCTGCGCTGACTGGGACACATCAAACAGGTTATAGAGCAGGGTCTGATTCTTGTGGTGAACAAACAAGTCAAATTCATCCAGTATAAACAGGACTGGACAACTGCTAGTTCGATCTCCTGGGAGAGCAATTTAATTTTCAAAGTTAGTATGTTCATATCAGCAGCAAAATTCCATCTCTACAGCTTCCGCATTTCCAAGTTTTAGCAATTTACTTATTATCTTTTCGCTTTTCACTAAGCCCTCCTTCCTTTCTACAACTGTAAAAATGAAAATACACTGAAAAATGAGGAAGGTTTTGTATTCTGCCAAGCACCATTTCTGGTTGCAAGGGAAGGCAGACTTATAGGGCAATTTTTTTAAAAAACTCACTGTTTCTAATAGCTTCAATCTGGGTAAAAGAATCTGTCCTTCGTAGCTGACCATCACGTGCAAAGCTTTACTGTATCAGTTATGTTAGCTCTATGTCTGGTTAGTATTCCATATTTTTTACATTATTTTGTAAGCATGACACACTCTGAGCTATATTTCTTCATACCACTTGTACCAGTAGATGACGAAACACCTGTACAATAACTTTTCAGTCAAGTGACAAACACACACAGTTTCAGAACAGGGGCTGCCAGCGTTTACCTTTCCTTAAAGCTTCAAGAAGGAACACAAGATTTTCAGCAAAACTGCCCTACAAAGAGAAGAAAAGATCCCAAAATCACAAAAGATCTTCAACGTCATTCTCAGAACTGTGTAACTACATCAAGTCCAGGCATGTAATGAAGTCCATTTCCTTCTAAAACCCTGCTTTCAAAACCAGTGCATATTTGAAAATTTACAGTGTTGCTCCATGCTGTATAATCATAACCTCTTCAGGACAAGAAAACTGATCTTTAACTCTACATTGATCCACTTCCAGTCTGAAAACCCCACACTAATTGCCTCAGACAGGCAAAAATTAGTGATTGGAAGAATGTCTACAACTGCCAGTCTGAAAACCCCACACTAATTGCCTCACACAGGCAAAAATAAGTGATTGGAAGAATGTCTACAACCAGCTAAGGTAACAATTAGCTTTATCTTTCCCTAAATAGCTACTGCATAGTCATTTTCCATCTACACACATGCAGAACCTGCTGCCTAACGTGACAATGATCAGTATGTTGCGTTTGTAATTTGCAACCTTATTCATTAGATAAAAGCATCAAACATTCACAACAGAAAACAATTACTATGACCATCTCCTGCTTCAGTGACACCCACATTTACTGACACGCTCTGAAGCACACAAGTTGTGAGATGGGAAATAAAAGCAGCTGAAGACCACAAGCCCTATCAAAGAAGGCAGAAAAGCAAACCTGCTCTCTGAAGGTGAGCTACAGAAACTAAAAAAGCTGAGGTTTCTATGGACAGAAGTAAGGACTGCAAAATCAGTGTGTTTCCTGCCAGTGTGCAACCAAAGGGACTAGATGGCGAAGAGTTTAAAGTAGTTCTCCACAATAACTTAATGGGGAAAATTACAGGGGGCTTAAGCATATTTTAAGATTGTTTTTGCCTCCAGTATTTTTGGTAGTGGGACTGTGGACCTTGAAAGGTTGTTCTAGTTCTCTGTTGAAAAGACAACTCATTCAAATGGCTAATGCTGAAATTAAATACTTGCTATTTCCTTTGTTACTGCAGCTGTATTTGGGGAAATTTTAGCTCACCCAGAAAAGGGTTTCCCATTCTCTGTACATAAAATCATTTGGGATAAGTGAGAAACCAAAGCACAGCCTAAGAAGCAAGCCATTTCCAGAAGATAATAAAGCCTAATAACTACAATCTACAATTCATCTTGTATTCCAGACTGCCTCTAACCTAGTTCTCAGGTTTCTCTTAACTAAAGTAGCAACAACTTAACTCTTTAGCTTTCCAAATGCAACTGATGAAAATAAACCTCATTTATTGAGGTTTCACCTTTCTCCCCTCTCATAATTCTGCTTCAGCCACTTGCATCGGTATCACATGACTTACACTCAAATGAGTGAAATTTAATCAGAAGCACTTCAGTTATTCCCTTTATTACTGACATTAGTACAAGTGTAAATGGGTTTCTTATCTTTGGGAAAAGGCCAATAGAAGCAAATATTTTAAAAGAAATTCTACCAAAAATGAGAGCTCCAGAAAGCCTGGACAGATTTCCCTGTTTAAGTAGAAAATGTGGCAAATACGCTAAAGATACTGCTTTCCAAAATACCCTCAGCACTTGTGTAGGACACATCAAGATTTTCAAGTGTTTGTAAATCAAGGTCTGCCACAGTTCACTACTGCCATCATTAAAAATTTTAAAAGAAAAATTTTTGAGAAGACATTGCAATTTTGCTACTAAACTCTCAAAGTCCATTGGGTCTCAACAAGCTGCATCCTATAAAGCTAGTTTTCCAGGCAAGGATTGTTGAGGGAGACAAGCAAAAAGTATAATGAAGTTGATACTTACAAAAACTTTATCCCCAACTACATTTTCCAGACGCAACTGCCTGGTGATCTCCTTCAGGGCCACTTTATCATCAGTCTGCAGAAGCCCTGAAAGAAAATGATTTTTCATGAATAACTGGCAGTTCTCCTTCACTCCAGGAGGCCACGTCTACAGCCACGAGAAACTTATCCAGAAGCTTCTCTCCATTTCCAGCCTTTTCAAAAGTTAATACTAGACAGTATTTTGCCATATGGAATAAGTTACTTAAAACAATTAATTCACAACTGAACTGATTTTTAACATTTTGAAAAGTCATTAGAAACAAACAAGTTCTCTTTATGGAGAGGGATACAAAAGGTGGTGTTCTGGGTGTCACAGACAAATGTGTTCATGATCAAGGCTTGATAACAACTGCTGAAACTGAAAATTTTTGTTCAGGGCAAAATACATAATATATATAACTGAATACAACATAACATTGGAATAATGCTGTATTACTTGCCATTCAGATGAACTTCCAAGAGGTTCTCTCTAACTTGTTTCATTTCCTTGAGCTCTTTTAAGACATGATTTAATAACTAGGAAAAAAAAAAAAAACCAAACCATAATTTCTTTACAAGAAGATTTATATATTAAAAGTAAGAAAAGTGTACAAATGGATATTATCAGATAGGAAATGGTATGTGCAGTTTCATCAGGTAACACTGGTTTTGAGCATTTTTAAGACTAAAACACTAAAATGACAACTTCACATTCACTATCATGCGATTACATTTGTTCACTCTGCTGAATTATTAGGCAAAGAAATATAAAAATAATTCCAGTATTGTAGTCATTAATTTTGGGGGGTAATAATTAAGGCTTTCGCCTTAACCAGAAAAAGCTCTAAGAGTTTGAGACGTGACAGAATTTGTCTCTTGAGTTAGTATAGTATACAGTTTCATTAGATGCTGTGGAATAAAAATATTTCCTTTAAATCTTTAAAGACACTATGCTTACTCTTTTCCTATTGAAGTTAGGAAGCATGAGACAATTACATTGCATATAATTACATCAACTACTGCCTATAAAACTTAAGGGTCCCAAATTCACAGTCCACCAAGAACTTGCTTTTGGTAAAAGTCATAAGGAATGTGTATTAAAAGACATACAAACAGATGAAACATTCATTTGATGTAGAATAAGAAAGCCATTAATTTCTCATATATGATTTGCTTACTTATATCCTGGCAGGAAGGATCACAAATCCTTATGCAAAAGGTTGGGATGAAAATTTAAACTTTAATTAAGTAATAAAAATACTCTGAGTTTCGATGAGAGAGGAAGGTAACAATACTGACTGATTTTGAAATGCAAAACGAGAAAGCCATCAACAAATTGGCAGAAGGAGTGGTGTCAGCTGTATCAAGGATGTTTACCATCTATTAATTTATTTCTATTCAACTGTATTTAAAAGCTTGAAGGCCACTAGCTTTAGCACTTGGGAAGACTTCCAAAGTAATTTGTGTAATTTTTCAATCTCAAGCACTTTTTGCAGTAACAGCCAACCTATTTATCATATTATATAAACAAGTAAACATAAAAGACTTAAATGTTTGCATAATGTTAAGGTATGTAACACTTAAGTTAGATGTCATCCCTACACATGCCTCAACTAAAAGAAGTTCCTTTAAAATACAAAACCTACACTTGTTATGAATGAACTAAAACTGCCAGAAAACGTTCTACCTCCTAGAAATTTAGGTAACAATAGTCTCTGACATAGGAAAAACAGGATTAAGATATTCTCCATTCTCCACATAAAAACAGCTATGTAGAAATTCACTTAGTCTTAGTCACTTAGTCTACTCTTTTTACAGGTTTTTTTTCAGTTTTTTTTTACAGGTTTTAAAACAGCTATGTAGAAATTCACTTAGTCTACTCTTTTTACAGGTTTTGGATGCTTTTTCAGTCATTTTTACAGTGGAGGCCCAATAGCAGGTTAATTTTTAAAGAAAAAAAATAACAGGGTTTTAATTGCTTATATTAACTCCTCTGTGGCAAGAACCATCACAGAACTGTAACAGGAGAAATGCTTAATGAAGGCAGAATCTATGATGTAGTCAGATCACTGAACGACAAATGCAACTTCTTCTGATAAAATTATTTCTATTTTACATGTTTTGGGCACCCAGAGTATGTCATGAAACCTGGTGAAGACACACAAAGGATTCCAAACCTATGCACACTGCTGCAAGTCCCTGTAAGGACAGAGAGGTACAGGTTTTTGTCAGCTGCACTTGAAGCCATTCTGTTTTACAAATTCACTAGGAAACTCAGCATTTGAAAAACGTTGGGAAATGAACTTCTCCACATTGTTGTTCAACAGAATTGGCCCACAAGAAGTCCTAGAATCTTTTGAAATTCTATGCAAACAGTTAGCAATTCAGCAATTCCCTCTTTAAAATCAGGCAGAGATGAAAATTTAGCTCCAAAAGCTCTCAGGACTTCGGTGAGGTCATCTACCTCATGCATAATTTGACCTTGTCTAGATTTTTTAATAGTGTTTATACCGCAGTCTTTCCTGATCCTCGGGGTCCAATAATAAGGGCAGAATTACTTTCTCCATGCGCTGTAGTTCGTTTCAGCAGCTCCAGCAGATGTCTGTGTTGACAACAGCAATAGGTTAAAAACTTCAAAGCAGTCAACACTCACTGAAACTATGGAAAATTGAAAAAAATCTTTAGAACATAAGAGAAAACTTGATACGTTTCAACTTGGTCTCAGAGCCAAGACTCAGGGCATGCAAAATGTAATACAATAAAGTACAAAAGACTGAGTGATCAGAGCTCTTAAAATATTTTAAAATATTAAAACATGCAGAAGTCGGGAGTATCACTAATTCATAAAGTTCTACAATTCTCCACCATGAAAGGACAGACTTCAATAATCATTTCTTTCTTAAAAAAAAAAAAAAAAGAGATTGCCTTCTGTGATACTACTCTAGATCACGAAAAAGGAAGACTGGCAAACATATTGAAGGAAGAACTTGACACTAGTAAAAAAAATTAATAATTTTGACCATCTTCATAAAACTGATTATATGCTAAACTTAGAGATCCAAAGCTTGTGAACAGGAACAGCAATATTGAACTTCAGGCTCATATTCTACTCCCACCCAAAAGAAGGAACAAAGAATAACTCTAGATTATATCCAGATAGATTTATCACGTAATACCACTTTTAAAGTACTTATAAAAAATACTGACACTTCCAGTTTACAAATGCATACATTTAATATGCTTTTTTTTTTAAACTTAGAATATTGACATCATGCAATCATTTCTAAAAGAGAAATAGAGTCATCTTGGAACAGCTGTGGCAAATCCAAGTGGTTTTGTTCGCTTTTTAAGGTTATCCACAGCCAAGAGCCCTGATACACCTTGAGAAGGAAAAACTAAGAATTGGGAAGTTTGATGTGTTTTCTCTCTAGTATAATTCATCAACAGTGGCACAGTAAGTAGGAGACAATCTGTAAACTGTTTTTCAGAATTCCAGTATAAAGAGGAGAGGCTTGTTTTGTAGAATATTAACATCATAGAAATACATTTTCTCACAACAATAAACATGTCTATGTGAGCTCTGCATCTATATTACACTACACTTTTTTAAGAATTGAAATGTTATTTTACCTCCTGTAAGGGAAAGGAAATTAATGCTCACATCAGGTGATTCAACTTGCATGAAGTTACTCTTGGAATAATTGATTGTTTAAAACAAGTTCTTTAGGTACATGTTTGTTATTTTCAGAATTTGAGCTGTGAAAGTATTAGTGTTAGGATAGTGTTATTGTCACAATTGGTCCTTCCTTCCTAACTTTAACCTCCACATCTGGATGACCCCAAGAAGTAGGTTTGTTTTAAATATGGGTCTCTGCTTCAAGAAACATGATGTAGGCATCCAAGGTCTAAGATTTGCTTTTAACACAGCTTACCAATAAACAGGAGAAAATCTGAAGTAAAAACAAAGATTCACAAGGGAATTTAACTTTTTGCTTGGTTGGATCATTAAATGTAGCCTTAGAACATGCACTAAAAGGATCTTTCAGGCTTAAAAAAAAAAGTGTTTGGTTCTTTTTTTTTTGCCAAGGAAGAAGGACAAGAAATCCAAAACTCAGGTCCTGACAAAATGGCAAGCAACAGTTGTATAGAAAAAAAATCTTAAAATCCGAGGCAAACACTTTTTAAAAGCATTGTGCTGCAAGTCATACAACCCTGTATAATTTAGAAAGTAGCAGAAATTACTGACTTCACCTGATTATTTTTCTATTGTGGTTAAAGTAGAAATTCCTTGGAATTTGATTCTGCTCACTCACCTGTACTGACGTTCCACCCCAAACAGTCTTCCAGTAACATAATGGTGACAGAACCTTTCACGTAAAATTTTTTGCACCTGCAGATACAACACAAGACAGAAAGAACGCTCAGGGCTTCAAACAGGAGAAGGTACCAACAATGTAGCTACTGCAATAAAATAACAGTAAAACATACATGTTTCTGTGGTGTTACAAATACTCTGTAACACGTACATTTCTTTTGTCATCAACGATACAGGGGGGTCTTGAAAGAATGAAGTTCCAGGAGGCAGAATATTTAACAGACTCTTTTGTAGCAGAAACGAGAAAATAAAATTCAACAACAGCAACATGTATCTTTGGTCTGATCTGCTACAGTTTCTTTCCTTCCCCCCCGCCGAAGGGATGTTACACTTGTCACCAAAATTACACCAGTAATTCATGGTTCTAACTTATTAGCACAGGCAAGAAAATATTTATCAGCTGACTTAAATAAAAAAATAGCGCAGTTATTCACCCAAAACCCCAGAGGGTTGCAGACTACAGCCTTCAAACATTAAAAAAGTATCAAATACAGAGTTTCTTTGAAGATTCAGTTCAGATATTTTGTTCCTAAAAGCCTGGCGGGAGGGGCAGGAAGTAGTTTGAAACACTACTAATACAGTAGTATTCTATGAATATATGATATACTAATACATTGCTTACAAAGGATGGAATAACGTTTGTCCAGTTTTAATAAAGTCCTGAAGCCCTTCAAACTGCACAGTGAATACAGTCATTTTAATTATCAATTGGGATGAATTGTTTGGGTTATCTCTCTATATATCTGCACTGACTTCTGTTTTCCATGTTAAAAACTGTTACTTCAAACTGTAGTTTCAATTCCCAAAGAGCCAACCTTCAGCATCACAGCAGATTAAAAAATAAACTTGAAAAACTGATTTTGCAGCTGCTGTCCTAGGCTGTTAAAAAGAAGTCACCGAGATTCTAATTTGCCCTACAAACTAGAAGAATCTGATTAGATAAAAATAGATTTATGCAAATCTGTTGCCACAAACGGCTGTAAAAGTGCAAGACCATCCTTTACTGGTTTTATTAAGATTCCAAACAGCAGATAGTTACTGTAACACCTGAAGAAAGCAACATCAGGTGAGAAGTTGAAAGACAGAATACTAATACAAAAACCATTTACAGCCTTAGAAATTACATGAAGTACATGCCTTTGGTCAACCTATAGGATGACATAGATGGCAGAGGATGGAAAAGTTTCATAACTTAAACACAAAGTCAGCTACTGAGGATGTTACTAACCTCTGAAATGCATTCTCCATTTGCTCCACTGCTCTCCTTTGGCTTACGTTTACTCATGGCAGAAGCTTTCCTCTTTAAAGAAGAAAGAGAATATAAAAGTTATATTAAATTGCTCTGTTTTTCAAATAATTGTGTTAGGCAGAACATCTATTTAGATATTAGCAAACTAAATTTAGTACAGCAAACCCAAGGCAGTTGCCCACTTGTAAGAACTTAAGTTGCAATGAGCATCATCCCTTAACTGATAAAGATGTAGTAGTTCATCTTACTAGTAAAAAACCAAAAAACCCCAAAATACCAAAAAAACCCCCAAAAATAAAAAAAAATCCCACCAAACCCTGAAACATTTTTAATTCATTTCTCATTAAATTAAATTCGCTTTTACATACAACTTCTGAAGAGCATTTGCTTTAGGATGCTTTTCAACACAATGCAAACAGTAACTAATACAACTGAAATGAAAGCTTTTTTTCAAGTTTTCTCCCAGATTTTTCTAGCAAGTTCTTGGGCTGACATTCCCAAGTGTGTGGATGACATGCCAAGTTGTAGCAAGCACAGTTGCACACAACCTGGTCTCCCACAGAACCAGGAGTGACACAAGCTCACATGTTTACCCTGCAGGTACATTGTTGTCAACAACCAAAGGGATACCCTTCAAGTAAGTTGTATTAACAAGTGACATTTTTACACCTTCCCCTCTCTCCAACCACCCAGTGCAATTTGTTAGTTTAACTGCCTTTTAAGGCAATTTGAAACAAAGTATTTATATTTTTGCTGCTGAAACAAGCTACATGGTAACATGTGAAATCACCACAATTCAGCCTTTTAAGGAACAACTGGAATCATAACAGGTGGGAAGAGTTAACTTTTTCACTAGGAGCTGGTGTAGTGCTGTGCTTTGGATTTGGGATGAGAAATGCTGTTGATAGCACATTGGTGTTTTTAGTTGTTGCTGGGCAGTCAGGGCCTTTTCTGCTCCTCACCCCACCCATCTGGGAAGGGGCACAAGGAGCTGGGAAGGGACACAGCCCCCAGCTGACCAAAGGAACATCCCATCCCACAGGGGGTCATGCTCAGTGTATAAACCTGGGGGAAGAAAAAGGAAGGGGGGGACTTTTGAGAGCGATGGTGTTTGTTTTCCCAAGTCACCATTATGCCTGATGGTGTAGTGCTGTGCTTTGGATTTGGGATGAGAAATGCTGTTGATAGCACATTGGTGTTTTTAGTTGTTGCTGGGCAGTCAGGGCCTTTTCTGCTCCTCACCCCACCCATCTGGGAAGGGGCACAAGGAGCTGGGAAGGGACACAGCCCCCAGCTGACCAAAGGAACATCCCATCCCACAGGGGGTCATGCTCAGTGTATAAACCTGGGGGAAGAAAAAGGAAGGGGGGGACTTTTGAGAGTGATGGTGTTTGTTTTCCCAAGTCACCATTATGCCTGATGGAGCCCGGCTTTCTCAGGGATGGCTGAACACCCGCCTGCCCATGGGGAGCAAGGAATAGATTCCTCCTTGTTGCTGGGCAGTCAGGGCCTTTTCTGCTCCTCACCCCACCCATCTGGGAAGGGGCACAAGGAGCTGGGAAGGGACACAGCCCCCAGCTGACCAAAGGAACATCCCATCCCACAGGGGGTCATGCTCAGTGTATAAACCTGGGGGAAGAAAAAGGAAGGGGGGGACTTTTGAGAGCGATGGTGTTTGTTTTCCCAAGTCACCATTATGCCTGATGGAGCCCGGCTTTCTCAGGGATGGCTGAACACCCGCCTGCCCATGGGGAGCAAGGAATAGATTCCTCCTTTTGCTTTGCTTGTGTGCACGGCTTTTTCTTTGTTTATTGAACCATCTTTATCTCCACCCATGAGTTTTCTCACTTTTATTTTTCCAGTTCTCCCCTCAGTCCCAGCTGAGGGGAGTGAGTGAGCGGCCTTGTGGTCCCATCTGCCAGCTGGGGTGAAACCACACCAGCACAGTGACACTGGAGCAGCTTCTTTCTTTCACAGAATGGTTAGAGTTGGAAAGGACCTTAAAGATAATTGAGGTCCAAACCCCCTGCCCTGGGCAGGGACACCTCCCACCACACCAGGTTGCTCCAAGCCCCCTCCAACCTGGCCTTCAACCCCTCCAGGGATGGGGCAGCCACAGCTTCTCGGGGCAACCTGGGCCAGGCTCTCACCACCCTCAGAGAAATCAGGAAGAACTTCTTTGCTAATCCAAATCTCCCTTCTTCCAATTTAAAACCGTTACCCCTTGTCCTGCCACTGCACTTCCTGACAGATAATAAACGCCTCTCTAGATAAGGAGCACCAGTAAAAACCCATTCCCCTCCTTTGTGCTAACAGAAAGGCCTCCGAGACTTGCTCCACAACAATTTACGCTTATTTTAAGGCAGCCGTTAACCCGCTTCTCCCGGTTTAGGCTCCGTCTATTGTGAGGCCGGCACGGCCGCTCCGCCTGCAGAGCCCGAGACCGGCTGATAACAGTACACATACATCCAGCCGCCACCACGGGAGCGCGGGGAAGGGGGAGGCCGAGCTGAACGGCAGCCCTTCGGTTCGTTAAGCCGGGAGCAGCAGGACCACCGGCGGGGGGGAGGACGCCCCACTCCCGTTCCTCACGCCCCTCCCAACCCAAAACCTCCCGGCGGCCGCGTCCCGGTGAGGGGGGCCCGCTCTCAGGCCTCAGGCCCACCCAGTGGCGGCTCCACAGCCCTCAGCAGCCATTACCCCCTCTCCCCCCCTAAACCGAGTCCCCCAGGGCGCTCGGGGGAAGCGCATGCAGCGGTGGTGGCGGCGGATCGCATCCCCCACCGTGCTGAGGCGACGAGCGGCCTGTCCCGTCTATTCCCCTCACGATTCCCGCCTCCCCTCACCTGAGGCGGCGGACCCAGCCGCGCGCGCTCCCGTCCCGCTCCCGGCAGCCCCCGCGCCGCACAGC